TGAATCTTCGTAACTCAACATTTTGACCCTATATACTTACTGGATCTAAAATGCGTCGATATTTAAGTGCAAAGAAATATTTCATTCAAAACAGTTGATTCTGATTCTGAGAATTTATTAATTCAAATAAATTCAATAGGCTAAACTATTGGAGATCCTCTTATTTGTTCAACTTTTCGAACTCTACGGTTGAAACCGGAATCATTAACAACTTCATGAACCACAGACCTTATTCACTCACCACTAAATTTGCCACCAAAATTTAGTCTCTCTGTAAAAGCATGATAATATGCCTCCAGGACAAAGACCTTGCTGATGTTCTGTGAAATTGTGAACTGTCGCTCGCAGCATACTTTTCATAGTTTAATGTTCAAAGGCGATGGAATAGATTTTACGGACGCAATAAATTAGTTCAAACGAAAACCGTTACCACTTGTTCAATTGAGAACTTAAATTCATAGTTCAGCTATACTTAAAAATTTAAATTTTATTAAATGCAATGCATTCTGTTCGCTGTTAAAAAAACATGATAAATATCATAAATGATAAGCTTACATGTCATGAATATATCATAAATGATATTTAAATATTTAATTAAGAGATGTAATTATGTTTCTTGTAAGATAACCTCAGTTTAGTTAGTCATCCTTCAAAATTTCAGAAATGTGAAAATAAGAAAATTAAACAAGGACGAAAAAATTCTATTTTAATCAAGATTATCTATTTTTTTTAATTCTGTGATAAAAACTTTATTTAAACTAAAAACATTTAATGTCCATTTTTTAGAAGCAATTAAAATTTCATTTTTATATTTTTTGAATTGGTTGCTTTCTTTTTCCGGTGATTATTTGGTGTAAAAAGGTTTTCAGGTGGTATAGTAACAGGCTTTCAATTTAGTTTGTAATATGCTTGCTGTTTAAATATGTGTTTGTTATCAATTATCTATGCTGCGCCGCTAGTCTATAAAAAAATTCAAGCATTTAGGGCATTTTAGGTAAAATGGAGAAAATGAGAATTACTATACAATGTTTACGTATTTGATAGAATAATAAATTCCTATTAGATAAAATATAAAAAAGAAATGGCGAGGCTATTTCACAAAAGACGTTTATTTCTCAGAAATACAAAATGTTATTTTGAAAACAAAGCAAAACAAAGAAGTAATTTCTATTAGAAATTTCTTATCCAAAATGAGCAAAAGTTATGTAAAAAAATCTGTATTAACGTTTTATCACATTTTAATCTGAAATTCCATAGAGTTTCTGCATAATAAGTAACTTGTTTAATCGTTTTCTAATTTAATGATTTATTTACGACATTTTAAATGCATAAAACTCGATACCAGTAAAGTACCGTTTCTTGTAAGTTAGTTTCATTCCTAATAAAGAATGTTTATCCAGTTTATGGCACATTTAAAAACTAGATCAATCTCATTTTGCCAAAAATAAGTGAATTTAAAAGTCTTGCAATTAAAGTTTCCGTTCAAAAAATTGGCGCTAGGGATTTTTAAATTAATTTACTCGCGTCAACTAAAGATTAAATTGTTAAAAATTAATAAAATGTATTCTCAAAACTTTTTAAAAAAATATTTAACATTTTAGGACAGACGAATGTATTTTAAGGAATTACAGAATACATGTTTCTGATTAATTTTCCTTTTCTATCAAAAACCAATGGGTTTTGATAACTTCACTTTGTATAAAACTCAGTTAATATTAAATACATTAAAAAAATTGCATAGAAAGTAATAATTTACTTAAGGTGAAATCTCCTTTAAAATAATTATAGACTTCAATATTTGTAAGAACATCTGCACTGTTCGAAAACTCGGATAATTTAATTATTAGATACAATATTTTTAAAAAATTGGGCGATATTACAACCAACAAAATCCTATACCATCTGATATAAAAGCTCGTAAAAACACACGTAAGATATTTTGTTTTCCGAACAAATCAATGGAAATTAATTTTTGGAAATTAATTTTTGGAAAGGAATCGATAATTTAATATTGTCTTAAGCAGATAAAAAATTATATTTTTCACAAATCATTGAAAACTATTAAAAAACAAAACAGTGACTTCGTTTCATGCAAAAATAAACAATCTAAATTTTAAACTTAATCACAAATCAATATTTTAAAGTTCATAAAAATGTTAGAATATAGAACCCTTAGGATGTAAAAAATGCTTAGAGGATATAAAATAAGTTCTTATGAAATAGTAGAAAAACAAAACAGTGATATATTCATTCAATGAAAAACTAAATAAAATATATTAACACTGTTTTTCGAAGCTTTGTGGCCAAGGAAAACAACAAAGACATAGTTTAAACGCCTTACACTTTAAACCATGTGATGAATTTGAACTATATATATAATCTTGCCTTGAAGAATTATCTAGGTTTTGAAACAGGCAAATAACTGAAATATTTTAAAAGCTATTTAATATTTTTACTAACCGCCAATTTGGTGACATTTTTTCACCCAAATGGAAATTATGAAAAGCACTGCCTTATTCTGAGTTTTTGAAAATTTTTATGAACCCAAGTAATACAACAATGGAGTAAATTCTTAAAGCATAAAAAAATATATCAGAAATGCTTTTCATTTTCACCATACTATGGCTTTTCTCCATATGGACATTTCGATACATTTTCAAAATAAGCGAGGACAGCGCTGGCTTTAGATAGACTTAACTTGACCTAACAAGCATGAGTAACAATTGTAAACCCATAGAGGTTAAAAAATAGTATATTATTTGCAAAAAAGCATCATTTCATATTACGCCAGAGACTCCGAAAAACAGCCTTAAAGTGGAATATCCCATGAATAGTTCAGAGCACATAAAATAAAATTTTTGAAATCTTTTTTGTGAACTCCCTAAACATTATCTTTCAAACTTCCTTTAAACTTTATTTCCGCTACAAACTAGCTTATTTTTAACCATTAAAAGAGCAGCTACAGTGCAACTTGAGAGCAAAGTCTGAACTTTTTCTTTCAGATTATGCATTAACTCGATTTACAATATCAGCTTAAACTCACAACATACTTATACATCTCTTAACTTATAAAAGAGTAAAATTCTCCCAATTACAGAGACGCTTAAAACTTTGTGATGTCCCTAAAGAGGAGTAGAAAATTGAAGTTTTCAAAAATTTTTCATAAAAATAAGAACGTTAGTTCGAGGAGGGTTGAAGTGTTAGGAAATAAAATATGTAAATAACTCGTGAGAAACTAGTTGGGTGATGAGAATTTACGCGACCTTAAAGCTTTAATGAGGGTTTGGATTTCACTCTCGACACCGGGAGTCTTTGTTAGTTATTTAAGTTTGAGTTTTTAAGAGAGTGTTCAAATCGTGGTGTCCTGGTAGCGAGATTAGTTTTGATATTAGCATTTGTTTTTAAACAATTTTCTAAGCAGTAAGAGGCGTATCGCGATATTTTGTATTTCGTTGCAATAAAAATTTGGATCACCTAAAAGTATCAATATTAAAATTTTATTTAGAGCTAAATGGGGGCCGTAACATATTTTTGAAATCTTAAGTTTGATATTTTTGAAATCTAGAGTTTCTGTCAAAGTTTTACCTTTCCTTATTTATAGGAATATTTCATTGTTCGTTTTCGTCTAAGCTTAACATTTATTGTGATTCTTTTCTCATCAATTAATGATTATAACTTACTCCTGTACATGTAGAAAATTCTTAAAATCATATTAAGTTCTTGAGTTTACGAACGCTATAAACTGTGTTCCATTTAATGCATATTTTTAAACTTAAAATAATTAAACTTTTTAACATTTATAAACACGTCACTATTTAAATTATATTCTAAATAGATATGAATCACTATGAAAATAAGAAAATTAATGAAAGGAATTTAAAATTTAAAATTCTTAGGGCAATAAATCTGTAAATTGTATGAATGCAAGAGCTATAAACAGCAGACTTTAAAATTTCCAGTTTCTTTTAGAGTTTCCTAAAATTTTATTTTCTCCTCTTTTATAACAATGAAATTTCATTATTTAATTCAATCTACGCTCAACATTTAATCCTTGGATGCAGATGAAGCACCAGCGCCCCATTTATATATATTTTATCTGATGCTATAATTGGAAGGAAAATATTTTTTTAGTATGAAAAACTGTCAAATAGTTACTAAAAAAATTGGCATTAAATTTGCAACAATGCATTAAAATTATCGGCATTACATTTGCACTGAATTATGAAAACCAAAATAAGTAGTTTGAATTTTTGTTTCAGTTTAAAAAATTATCAATAATTGATTTTGTAATTTAAAGAAATTTTAATGATGAATAACTGCTTTTCTTAGATCCAAATGAAAGCACAGTAGTGCCAATTTGTTTTATGATGCATTTCATAATTATAAATTATTAAAATATTAAATATAAAATTTTTCCTTATTTTGACGAAAATTAATACAAAAAAATGAAGAAATATGAAAAAATTATCAATAATTGTTTTTGTAATTTAAAGAAATTTTAATGATGAATAACTGCTTTTCTTAGATCCAAATGAAAGCAAAGTAGTGCCAATTTGTTTCATGATGCATTTCATAATTATAAATTATTAAAATATTAAATATAAAATTTTTCCTTATTTTGACGAAAATTAATACAAAACAATGAAGAAATATGAAAAAATATTTAATAAAAATTCTGAGTCAAAGGGAAGAATAAGAATTTTTTCTCATCAGGCAATATCTACTCCTATAGTTCTTTGAAATGTTTAAAGTCATGCTTCACACATTTCTAATTTTACATTGATTAAGCATTTCAACATTTCTAAACATAATATTCAACAATAATATTTCTATATTATTAACTATATAAATTATATTTTTAAACTATAATATATTACTAGAAAAACGAGAAAAAAAACGCATAAGGCACTGATAGTTTAAAATTTCTTAGAACAATAAATATGAGACACATACTATTCTCATCATTTATGCATGCCAAAGTATGTTTGAAAACTACTCACAGACGACGCTAAAATAGACAGTTTCTTTGATAGTTTCCTTCAAAGCTTCACTTTCTGCGTGACACGAGAAGGTTTTATTGTCTGGATCCTGCAAAGAAAAATGGACAACTTAGATTACTCTATGTCGCTCAGTATGTAGGCTGCAAAGTTTGGAACTCAAAATAATTACAAGTCTCTCTCTTTTCTTGAAGCTTGGCAGCATATTTTGTGAAACATAGAACAAACTTCTTTTTTTTCCACCGAAAATAATCTGTCTCGTGCGCTGATTTTAAGAGCTTTCTAACTATTTTTATAAATGGAAATAAAATGTAATAAATATATGAGAAACAAAGTAGCAAGTATTGATATCTTTTGATTGTATGCATTTGAAGATTTATTTTTTCCTCGTTAATATTGTGAGAAAATTATATATTCAAAATAATTACCATATTTAACCAGAAAATAAAGGCAATTTACATTTTCAGTCAAGTATTTAACATAAATTTAGTTGAAAAAGTAGAAGAATATAAATATTTTGTTAAGTTAGTAAGCTGTAAAAGGACCAGTACATAAAATTGACTGTACTTTGAAACGAGAAGTTCATTTTACTGTGAAATTTTACGTAAAAAGAATCTGATATACCGTAAATTTTACATAGTATTTAATATAAAATCCCAGTAACTGAATAAATATTACATTAAAAATTACGATAAAAAATTTTACGGTAAAAATGAATTTTAAGGAAAAGTGGATTTTGCGGATGATGCACCCTAAATGGTGGTACTTTTTACCACAAAAATTGATTCGAATTTTTTTACAGTGTAGACGTTTTCTGAACACAGTGATTATAAAGATTGGAGTCAGGGAAAGCACAGTTTATTATAAAATTAGCAATCAACTCAACGAGTAAAGCATTTTTTCTGACAATTAAGTACTATATGACTTTATTTAACTATGCCATATAAGCTTCTTGAACAATAAGTAGTTAAATCTTGAGAGATGTGTTGTAATTTACAATACGGAGTAATATATCGTAGTTTTAGTTTAAAATATAAAAAAGAAGTTTTATTTCTCTCTAAAATATTAAAATAAAGAATTTGAAAATAATTAATATAAGATATTACTGACGCATTAGCTTTATATAAGTACAGTGAGTAAAAAATAAACAGACAACCCGGATTTTTAGTTTCTAAGACTCAATCTTAATACACAAGTGGGCGACCTTTGTGCTAAAATACAAACTAAGGCAGACAACGTTAAAGAGCATTAAATATTTTTGTGCTCCTTAACGTTGTTTGCCTTAGTTTGTCAATCTTAATAGTTCGAGGGAGTGACCTCAAATATTGTTAATAGTTAGTGCAGATAATATATAATGTTACGAAATCAGACACAAAAACGAACTTTTTCTGAATAAACATACCTGATTTTTGTCAGATTCCGATTTCTTGTCGTCAAAATAAAAAGGGATCGCAATCTGAGAAATATGGTCTAAATAGTTTGATCAGGAGAGCAGTCTGTGTGTGTGTATGAAGTTTATATCCTTTAAAGTTATATCTACAGTTTACTTATTTCACCATATCTCGAGGACTTCTTAAGTAAATTGAAAAAGAAAATTGCATACAATTATATAATTCGCTTATCCAAAAATAATTTCATGCAAAAAATATATTTTAGTAAATATTTATTAATTTTTATTATTTTAATTAATACTGGTCAAAAAATTTTTAATTGTAAAGTATACAATTTCTTACATCATTTTAAAGGCATTCATTAGAAAATTTTATCAAAATCAGTCGAATAGTTTCTGAGAAATTGAATTTCTAAATACCGTTTCCTTAAAATTCCATTTCTCAGGAGCTATTCGACTGATTTCGATCAAATTTTGTATTTTGTCGTGTATAATTACATTATTACATTACTTAAAATGATGTAAAAATTGTATGCCTTACAATTCAAAATGTTTTCGATAATAGTAAATAAAATAATATTTATTCACTAAAATTTAAATTTTGCATAAAATTATCTTTGAACAAACGAATGCAAAAACTATGCGCAAATTTTTTTTAAGTCCCTAAAAAATTCTCGAGATATATTAAAATACGCAAATGTAAAATTAACAGTAAGGGGCCGTACTTTGGACCACACTCTTGATCCAAACATTGGGACCGTATTTCCCAGATTGAAGCTATTCCCTATTTTTAGGGGATCAGAAATCTGAATCCGTAGGAATAAAAATGTTTATTCAGAAAAAGTACGTTTTTGTGTCGGATTCCATAACTTAAAATATCGTCTGCACTAATTTATTAGCACATTTGAGGTCACCCTCGAGAAAAATAACGATTTTGTCTTAGAACGTGAGGATTCGATCATTAGATCAAAAGTTATTCAGGACGGTCCGTTAATTTTTTTTTTGTGCACTGGACCTCCTAAATTTATTTATACAAGTATATTTTCTAACGCTGTTAAAAATTTAATGAACAGAATTACAAGTGAAGAATGCTTTTTGAAAATAAATGTAGCCTTGTTTATGTTAAAATACTTTTATTTTAAATCTTTCAAATTAAACAATCATAATTTAAGATATCAAAAAATTAGGCAAAATGTAAGGACAATTTAGATAAAACTTAAATTTTCAACTGTTTGAATTGATAATACTATTACATCTAAACTATAATTTTTGTAAATAATAAAAGACGAATGCCATATGTATTTGTGAAAAAAAAATACGGCAATTAGGAAGAATTATAAAAGACTTTCTTTTAAAAAATCTATTTTTAACAGCATCTTAATAATACCACGTTCTACAGCTAAAGATCAAGCTTATTAATATTAATTATGAAATAATTTTAAACTTGTAAACACAAAGAATGAATAAAAACCTAATTATCTTTATTGAAATAAACGTCTTCGCAATAAACAGATATTCATAAAGTAGTATTTCCTGAGGGAAAATGAAATATATTCTTATTCTGATAGAATTCATGATAGATTGTGTTTTAAATGTATTATTTTTCTTTTCTTTCGAATTTAATTAAGTGAACTGAGACATTTCTATAGGAAAGATTTCATTTTTGCCAATATCAGGCTTGCATAAATCAAGAAATAAATGCCTCTTCAAAAAATACTTTGTTTGAATTTGATAACAATTAATTAAATTCTGTATAAATAATAAAATTCATCATTAAACGCGTTAAAAATTTAAATTATAATAGATATCGAGAGTTAATTATGACTACCAGAACGCTACAAAGAAGTACTTAAGGCTCTTTTAACTTTTAATAAAATTCACTTAGAAAGACTTTTAGTTTTTTAATTAAAATTTGAAATGCATTAAACATAGAATTAAGACAGTTTAAAGTACATTACGCACCAGATTTAGTTCAGTAAGACGGAACTGTTTTTTTTAATGTTTAATACCGGAATTGAAATTATCGTAGTGGAGTTGAAGTGTTAGCTTTGGTACGTGCTTTTTAGAAAATAAACGCAGCTTGATACGCGTGTTCGAAAAATGAACAAAACTGTAACTGCACATTTTAAAAAATAAACAGAGCTTGATATGTGTGTTTGAAAAATGGAAAATGCTGCAGCTGCGCGTTTTATAAAATGGACGCAGCTTAGTACGTGCGTATTAAAAAATAATGGCATCTTGACACGTGTGTTCGAAAAATGAACAAAGATGTAACTGCACGTTTTAAAAAATAAACACAGCTTGTTATGTGTGTTTGAAAAATGGAAAATGCTGCAGCTGCGCGTTTAATTAAATGGACACAGCTTAGCGTATTTAAAAATAATCGCAGCTTGATACGCGTGTTTTAAAAATAGATGAATCCGCTTAGAAACGCTTTAGAAAATAGACGCAGCTTGGTATCTGTGTTTGAAAAATGGAAAAAAAAGCTGTAACTGTGAGTTTCTGAACATGTACTTAGCTTGATATGCAAGTTTGTAAAATAGATTTAGTTAAAAAATGTGAGTTTGAAAAATTAACTCAGCTTTAAATAAAAAAATGGACATAGCTTAAAATGCGTGCGTAGGCATCTGATTCCACGTTTGAAAATACTGTAATGAGTGTTGGGGATAAAGTGTGTATAAAATCAAGCTTTTTTTTAAATAAAAAAGAAACTCTCTTTTACCAAATAATTAAAGTTTTCATACTGAAAATTGTGATGCATTTAATACACATTGGACTCATGTAGATAAAATATGAGGTATATCTATTTTGTTTGATTCTTTTCTTACAGTGGAAACTTTTCTTACATTCAAAAGAACATGTTTTGATATACCTACTTTACCCAAGTATGGAGTGAATGGGTTATAGTTCATAAATTAGTATATATTTCACTAAAAAAGTGTTTGTAAATATTTTTTAAGAATCAAAAATGCTCTTTAATAAATGTATCGTGATTGTATTTAAAACAAATGGTAAAAAATAATATTTTACACATTATTAAATTCATATTATTATAATCATGGTATTCCTATTATTAAAATGTTAATGTTAAAAAAATATCCCTATCATACATTACTTAGCTAAGATCATCCATATACCCACCTACTCAACCTCAGAAAACAGCTCACAATAAATAGAATTTTGAAATTTATTCATAAATTTCTGTGTAGATATGTTCTTTAGATTTCTACCAGTCTGAACTAAAATGAGTGGTCTTTTTACAATTTTCAATGATACTAAGCGAAAGTTTATTAACGTATAGTAGTAACGATAGTTCGTAAACATTAATTTTTTTTTATCAACTTCTAAAACTGAAATAAAAATGCTTGTCTCATTCCCAATAAATGTCTCTGAAATATTAAGTATATTATTTCGACTTAAAAGGAAAATAGACATCTAATAGATAACAAGTACTAGAAACATCTAACAAATAGCAAGTACCCACTTTACCCTACTTGACCCTATTGTTGTTCAAAACAATTAAGAATTGAATAATGATGATTGGTAGTATTAAAAAAAGATTAAACAGTCCCTCAATATGACAAAATGTAGCAGTTACAAAAGTTTCATTGAGACAAAAAAATATATATGTTGCGAAAAATTATAGTATAAATGTATTTGAAATGGATTTACCTGCCTGGTGAGTGTAACTGTAATGTTTGACGTAGTAAGCCATCCCCGTTTTGAGACTTCAACTTCAGATGTTGTCGCGGAAGGATACTGTCCATCTACTAGCCATACAAGTTTCGATGCAGGATTGCTCGGACCAGCCGAACATGACATCGTGATGACATTTCCCACTGTGCCTTCTGTTGGCCCCACTATCGTTATTTTTGTTGGTGCAACTGTAAAGAACAAAAAAATTGTATTCAGAATAATAATATTAAAAATCCAGATGATTGAAAAAAAAGAAATAACGTTTATTAATCAGAAACCAAGTGGGTAAAAAAAGTCTTAACGAGAAAGGTTATTTTTACGTCAACAGTTCATCAGGTTCTGTTCATATTACTTGATTGAAATGTTTATTTTTAAAGTGTATAACAAATGATTTACCTATGCCATTTGATGAATATATTCTTAAATTTAAATTTTGAAAGTAAACCGCTATTAATGAGTTCCTCAAATCACCAGGATAAAAATTCTTATTATTTGTTATGTAATTCTCCTTATTTATGTTTAAATTGCTGCTTGACTAATTTATTATTTAATTTAAAATCCATCAATAACAGTGCTTGTACGCTGCTTTATTTATAACATATCATAGAATAGCCAGGCGGTACCTATGTAGTTAAATAAAAATAAGTTCCGAAATCAAACTTAAAAATGCAAGAATTTTCTTTTAAATAATTTATGAATTTATCAAAAGTAATAGGCTTGGTTACCATTTTGTTATACATTCAATTACTTAAAATTGTCCCTCACCAGTTTGAAGCTGTACCCAGTATTAATTACCTTGGCTCTTTTGTTAATCCAACAATGGACAATACTTTTAAAATTTAAAACGTTATCTAGTTGGTCAACAAAACAATCTTTAAACTTATTTAGAAACTATTTTCTATCTAGAAAAAAACAAAGCTTCTTATCTATAAAAATCACATTAAGCTGGTCTAAATGTATGGTTAAGAAAATTAACATTTAATTAAGCTTGGGAATTTTAAAATTCCAGTTGTGGAAGAAAAATTCTCAGAAGCATCCTTGGTGGTGATAGAGTAAATGGCTTTTGGCGAAAAATCTACAGCTAGGAAATTTATCGCACTCTTAAGTAAACTCTTAAATGAACTCTCAAAAAATTATTCAATCATCTTCACTAGTGTGGTAATGAAGTAAATAGAGCCGTGATGGCTCAGGAAATGTGAGTGCTTGCCTCCCAATAAGATGAAACTGGTTCGGACCCCAGCAATGTCTGTTTGGTATGATTTTTTCACCAGCTAACCACAGTGCTGTCGTAAAATATTCTCAGATCATGGGTGGGTTGGAATCTCCATTCAGCCAGGCTAACAGTGGTAGGTATTAGCGATTTCCCTCTCCATGTAAAGCAAATTTGGGTTAGATCCAATAAAACGTTCTCCACGAAGACTAGCTCGTCCTCCCAATGCTTGATCCAGGAATTTCCCGTTTTTCTGTGTTGGGTTCACAATTACAAGGCTACAGAGTTTAACAATAATGTCAGTAAACACAAAATTGGGTCGGCAGTTCAAAGCCGGTTATAAAATAAAAAGGCAGTAAAAACTTATGTCTAATTCATATTAAATTTTGAAGCTTTCCCGTATAGTTCGTTCAATATGTCTCCAAAAACAGGCACTTTTTAAACATGCTTGCAATATTTCAAAAAATTTCCCACCATTAAAAGTTTGCAAAAAATTTTTTAAAACACTAATCCAAAATAACCATAGTTTACTTTTTAAAATAATAATTCAAGAGATTTGAAGCCCTAACTCGATATCTAAATGCATACAAAAATTCAATATTAGTCTTTAACTCTTTTAAGACAATTATCCTACTCGCAACAATGCAAAATTAAAACATGGGTTTTTAAACAAACTTGTACGCAAATATATTGTTTTAATATATCCAAAAAAAAATCAACTTAATTCCTTATTATGAATATAATATGTATAGTTCATTCTATCATACCATTATTCTCCTCATCAGATAACAATCTTTTCACCGAGTGTGAATGAAAGAATAAATAAGTCTAATCAAATACGGCTAATTTCAACCACAGCGAGGAATTCTCTAATCAAAATCCTCATCGGTTGAATAATTTAAATTCGAATGAAAAGATAAACTATAAATTTCGAACAGAATCTATCGAAAATCAGAACCAAGTAGAATATTTGACATTTGCCTTGGAGAGTTTCTCATTAAATATTTGAGTTATTGTAAAAATATTTATCTCAATAAGGAAAATAAGTTTAAATTAGTCATTATTAGTGGCTGTATATATATATATA